ACCACACGGACTCACAGTGCTCTGGAATTTTAGATGTTGCATTTTGTTCTTCCAGTCTCATTGAGATATAACTGACACACATCACCATATAAGTTTAAGGTGTACCGCATATTGATTTGACTTACATCCATCATGAAATGATTATCATAATAAGTGCAATGAACAGCCATCATCTCTTACAGATACAGCATAAAAAAATTATTTTCCTTGTGATGAGAATTCTTAGGGTTTATTCTCTTAACAACTGTCATATATAATGTGTAGTAGTGTTAATTATTTTATCATTTCGTACATTACATCCCTAGTACTCATTTATCTTATAACTGTAAGTTTGTACCTTTGTACCTTTTGATTGTCTTCATCCAATTCCCCCTCCCCCTCTCCTCTGGTAACCACAAATCTGATATTTTTCTATGAGTTTGTTTGTTTGTTTTTGAAGTATAATTGACCTATAACACTCTGTTAGTTCCTGATACACAACATAGTGATTCGGTATTTTTATGCATTTCAAAATGATCACCATGATAAGTCTAGTTACCATCTATCGCCATACAAAGATATTACATAGTTATTGACTATATTTCCCACACTGTACACTTCATTCCTGAGACTCATTTATTTTGCAGCTGGAAGTCTGTACCTCTTAATCTCCCTTATCTATTTATGTATTGTTTTTAAGCAAGAAGTTCCTCCTTCCTGAAGTTTTGGTATTGTTTTTTATCCTTCTACATGGGTTACTGGGCCTTGGCTTCTTTAACCTAAATAGGATTTTCCTGTTACATTAATTGCTTTTGAAAGTGATCTGAACACAAATAACTATTTTTAATCTTTAAAAAATACTTTTTTCTTCTCACTTATTGTTAGAGTTCTCCCTATTGTCAGGGTCCCAGCCCCCAAGCTGCCAACCTCACAGAGGGCTTTTTGTTTTTGCCTTTGAACTACTCAATTTCTTTCAGAAAATACATGGTTTTAAGGGATATAACTTTTTGAATTTTCTGAAGCCTGAGAGTCAAGAGAACAGATTTCATTAATGTTGACTCAACTGAAGGATGTAAAGATTTGTAAAACTAAGTGGTTACGTTTGTCTTTTAATACATGCATGTAATTTCAATTAGAGTTATATTCATCTCATATAGGAGATACTAAATTTTGAGGGGGTGGAGGGCATAATGGAAGAAGGAAAGGAAAGCAACCATCTTCTCTTCCAAACTTTTGCTTTCAAAGGTACATTTCCAAAGAACATTGTTAATACACAAAGCATGAGGCTGATCACAGATAATAGGAGGCACTTTCTAGAGATCCAGTTGAATAGAGAAATCCATAAATTCTATCCCATGTTGATAAGCATTTGGACTCAAAGGGACATTTGCTCAAAATGCCTATGGCAGCTGCCACATCTCTCACAAACACTGCTTCTAGGTCAATGTTCTATTTATTCTCCTGATTCCACCAGAAGAGGACCCCCATCCTATGCCAATCTCTCTTTAGTAATTGTTACACACTTGATAACTCTTTGTTCTTTTAAGAAGCCTGGACTAGCACAGGTTATCTGCAGGTACAATTTACATGAGAGTATATGAGAGTTTAATAGGAGTTACTGCTACAAGGGACATACTGGATGGTGACACACAGGGACTGTCATGCTGCTGTGTTTTTGCTTAATGGAGGATCCATTGCAACTCTGATTCCAGACAGAGAATTTCCTTTTTTATCAAAAGGAGTTAAATATATTCTTCTCCATTCCAGCTAAACGGCAGAGAACACAGGCACAGTACACAGAAACAGGTGGCAAAAGAGCACTAAGAGAGAGATAACTAGATAACTTGGGCCCACAAAAGCATAGAGAAAAAAAACCCTGCAGGGCAGGTGGCCAACCAGCTGAGGTGCGCATCTCCTTAGAAATACAGCTGGTAAGGATAATGCTTACAGTCAACACTGAGCAAGTTGTATGAGCAGACTGTTTTGTAAATAGCAGTACAGAGCCTAATACAAGAAGGTGCTATGTCAGCATAGACTAGCTCACGATAGAGATGATTTTCACATAAGCTGCACCTAGACGGTTCCCTCCTTCGTGCCGTGTGGTCAGAATCTCTCTGCATAGCCCTCATAAGAATTATAAACCATTTGTGTCTGATGACTTACAACTTTACCTCTGCATAGCCCTCATAAGAATTATAAACCATTTGTGTCTGATGACTTACAACTTTTCTCTCTGCATAGCCCTCATAAGAATTATAAACCATTTGTGTCTGATGACTTACAACTTTTCCTCTCCCTTTTCGCCCGCTGCCTTTCTCCTAAGGAAGATCTGTCTGCCTGCTGGGCTCTCATAGGATGATGGGTGGAAACTGCAATAGGACTGGCGAGCAAGCAAGATTTCACACTGATAAAGGAGGAACCCCCTGGTCTGAGGACAGAAGAGAGGCAGAAAAGAAAGAGGGACACTGGCTCCCGCTGCCACCACCCAACAAAAACTGAAAACAACTGAACAGAGCCTGCTTGGGAGCAGTCGCTAAGTTTGGGTAGAGATTTTAGGAAAATTAGATTTAGGACATGTGGGGCAACTATTGGTGGGTATGAGCTGTAAGTGGAAAAAGATGAGGAAACAAGTTTTCATCATTTTAGCTGCACATGGGAATGGATTCCCCTTTCATTCTTTGAGTGTCTCCAGTGAAGGTTTAAACTATTTAACAATTAATTTTAAACATCAGACTAGTATTTCTTCAATGGCAACTTCATGAGGCTTTAGGTCAAAAGGTGGGGTTCATATGTAAATTTAAGCTTCCATTAAAAGTATGGTAAACTGTGTCCATTTCTCAGTCATAACTAATTCTTTTTTTTGTCATAAAAGCCTGGATTTAGAGAAATTTCCAAGTACTTTTATACATAGATAGCTGGATTGCGTGGAGGGTACTTAAATAATATTTTCTCAATTTTGATGTTGACAGTGGGGAGATAAACAAGACTGTTGTCCTGAATGCTGCTTTAGGCAGGCTATCTCTGGACGTGTTCCAGGTGACAAAGACCACCTTTGGTCTTTGTCAGGGACCCCAGACCACTGGGAGTATGGGGGCCCTAGGAAGGGACAATGGGCACATGATCAACGTCTGAAACAATGCATGCCACCTCTTCACGTGGGGAGGGCATCTTTGGTTCTTGGTCATTTCCTCATCCCAGAGCTACACTCTCAAACACAGGGACAATGGCTAAAGGGGGTCGCGTTCCCACAGGTAGAATAAAAACAGCACATAAAAGTTGGAAGTTGTGAGCCAGGAGTGCCTTGGTTCACCAAATTATTCTCTGGTTCCATTATTCACAAGGTTCCATTATTCACAAGGTTCCATGACGGCGGATCCTACCACTTCTTATTCACCTGTGGCCTTGGTCAAGTTTCTTAGCCTATCTACTTAGCCCTTAGATTCCTCAACTTTGAAATGCAGAAAATAATACCACCCACCTCACAAAGACATGAAATGAGAAAACCTCTAAATAACGCTCAGTACAGTGCTTGGTATGTAGGGAATGCCTATGAAGGTTACTTCCTACTATCTCTATTAATCATACTCTAAGTATTGTTACACTAATGACAAGGACTGACCTAATTTTTTTTTACATGATTAAACTTGAAAATCTACACCTAAACTTGAAAACACATTTTTTTTTTTACTTTCCCTTGTATTCACGAATATAAGGGAAATTACGATTTCTATATAAATATGAGCGCCATTTCCTGAAGTTTGGTTATCTTTTCTAGCTTTTTCTCTACCTTTTTCATTGTCCCCATCTCCTAAATCCTTTCAGGGTTTGAGCCCCTTGCCAAACACCCCAAAAGGAGCTGGCTGTTGACCATTTCCATGAATTCTTCTTTCATTATTGACCCCTGTAGCTCTGTGTTGACAGTTGTCTTTTGGCACATTTAACTCGTATTAACATTGTTTGCACATTTCTCTCATCTGCCCTCCTTGATTATAGTTGACTGCAGAGGCAGGATGAGCCTTATTTATCTTTGAAATAGCTATGGCATCTGTGCCTTATTAGGTAGTAAGTATTTAATAAGTATTTTTAAAATGAGTGAGTAAAGATAAGAATAAATTATTCAGGATATGCGAGGTCGTCTATTAAATTAAAAAATGGGGTGCTCAAACTCTAAATGGCTGTCCGCAGGCCCCAAGACAACACCCAATCCCACACAGCACACTGGGTTTGTGTTCACTCAGACTCACCATGCATCTTCTCTACTTTCAACTCCAGAGCATTAAAACCAGGATGATCCTAAGACCTTGAGACTTGCCTGTTGCCTTTTTTTTTTTTTTAAACAGCTCATGCAGCTCAATATCAAAAAAACAAACAACCCAATCCAAAAATGGGCAGAAGACCTAAATAGACATTTCTCCAAAGAAGATATACAGAGCGTCAACAAACACATGAAAGAATGCTCAACATCATTAATCATTAGAGAAATGCAAATCAAAACTACAATGCGATATCATCTCACACCAGAATGGCCATCATCAAAAAATCTACAAACAATAAATGCTGGAGAGGGTGTGGAGAAAAGGGAGCCCTCATGCACTGTTGGTGGGAACGTAAATTGATACAGCCACTATGGAGAACAGTATGGAGGTTCCTTAAAGAAGTAAAAATAGAATTGCCTGCTGCCTTTTAAAATGTTAATATATGAGAGTAAATAAACAAGTAAACTTCTTTGTCTCTTGAGGCAGAAAAATTCAGTGATGTGCTTGAGTATTTTTCATAGGAGGTCAACTCTAGACCCCCTGAGCAGGAATACCCTCTCCTTGCCAGCAGGGGTAAAGTCTAATTTGCATAATGCCCCACCACTCGGTAGACTCTATGTCAGTGGTGGGTTTGTTGTATGTCACTCATGTTCCAGAAGCAATTTCTAATAACTCTCATTTCAACATCTTGGGGACAAATCTCATCTCCTGTTGTTTCCTTACAGAGACATATTGAAATGTTTGAAGGTGTGCAAACACACATACCTGCTAGTGGAGTCCAGAAATCCAGTAGTGCCAGAGAGTTGGGGCCAGTCGAGCTCATTGGTAAGAGCTGTTGGTAAATTGAAGAAGGATTTCTAAAGGGAAAATAAAGTAGTAATTCTCAAAATGATCCCTTGTTTTCTATAAGGAGTAAGATTATCTATTGCTCAGGCATTGTGATCTGTCTGCCTCTCTCTCACTCTCTTTCTTAAAGGGCCTTTGCATTTAAAGCATATACCTCTTAAGGTTAACCATCATCAGAAAATTAACAAAGGTCAGCATCATTCATGAACTGGCTTCCATTCAGCTCCTGGGAAAAATGTAGAATGCATGGCAGCTCACATTCACCCCTCATCTGAGAGACAGGTAAACTTTCCACTCTTTAATTTCTGAGATTTTCTCCATTTCTAAGGCTAGATAATCAGAAAATTGACTGTCTGGAAAGTAATAATACCCAAGCCTCCAGCAAATATGCCTTCCCTGAGTTCAAAGCTATGCCTTCCGTCATTAGGATGTTGCCTCCTGGCCTCCTTGGGTGGGTGGGGGTCCTCAGACACCTTTGAAAAATCTAATTATGGTTCCTTTCTTCATGAAGATGCACATATACTCAACATGGCCTGTGATTTCAAGGGGTTCACAGAACTCCTGCAACTCTTGCATAGACTCCTGCTCAAGAACTCCTGACATAGAGTGTTGACAAAATTAGAATTCCTTTGAACCACATTCTATGACTTGCGCAAAATCACAGAAGAAAAATGTTGCCAGCTGTGTCTCCTGACTGTTCCTCCTCCCCTCTGGTCTAATTTCTAGAAAAACAGTATCTAGATTGATGTGTTCAGAATAGGGTTGCCAGATATAGCAAATAAAAATACAGATGCTCAGTTAAATTTGAGCTTCTATGAACAAGATGTGGTATATACTTACAGTAGAATACTACTCAGTCTTAAAAAAGATGGAAATTCTGACACATGCTACAACATGGATGAACCTTGAGGAAATTATGCTAAGTGAAAGAAGCCAGTCACAAAAAGACAAATACTGCATGATTCTATTTGTATGAGCTATCAAGAGTAGTCAAATTCACAGAGACATTAAGTAGAATGGTAGTTGACAGGGACTGGGAGGAGACGAAATGGGGAGTTGCTATTTAATGGGTATAGAGTTCCAGTTTTGCAAGATGAAAAGTTCTGGATGTTGGTTGTATAACAGTATGAATATACTTAACACTACTGAACTGTATGTTTAAAAATGGTAAGAAGGCAAATTTCGTGTTATGTATATTTTACCACAATTAAAAAAAAGGAATATGCAAAAAGTTGAATTGAAATTAAACAGGGGATAATTTTTAGTATTAGTATGTCCTGGGCAATATTTGGAACATACTTATACTTAAAAAATTATTTGTTGTGTATCTAAATTCAAATTTAAGTGAGTGTCCTGAATTTTACCTGGGAATCCCAGTTCGGATAAAATCTCGAAAAGCCAATGATCCCTTTTTGCCTTGGCTGACAGGAAAACTCAGTGCCTCGCTGCAGGAAGCAGTTTATTTCAGGAAATAATGTCATCTCCTCCATGTGCTCTGTGTTTCTCAACCTTGAAAACCCATGCCCCCTTTGGATGAACATGAAAGCCTTGAGTCCACCTTCAATCATTTTAAAATGAAAAAGAAATGAAAGATAATGCCTAAGACAAATCACATCAAAGCAATTGTAGCACTGAATAGGACTTTTCAAATGGCCTATGGTCCTGCCCCCTGCTCACTTTCTCACCCATGATCATCCTTACCTTGTCTCCTAGAGAGACTCTGAATATGGAGGCTGTGAGGGAAGGAAAAGCCACAATGTTCTCTCTCCTTAACCATTCAAAAATGTATCTTCATTGTTTTTTCTGATTACAAAGTAGTACATGATTCTTTTAAAAATTCAAACATCATAGTAATATACAATGTGGAAATGAAAGTCCCCCATCACCTCTCCTTAAGAGATAACTATTATGAGATAACCACTATTAACACTTTGTATTATTTATATGTATATGATATATAATGGAATCTACTCATTCTTCCTACTTCAGAGTGTGTGATAGTTCCTACTCTCATATAGAGAATGAGTACTCAAAAGAAATAAAATAAAATTTGTATTTCTCAGTTTTGGACTGCTACTAGTTGGATGTGTTCCCCCAAAAGTTGGGTTAAAGGCCTAACCATCAACATCTCAGAATGTGACTTTATTTGTAATTGGGTCATTGCAGATGTAATTAGTTAAGTGAAGATGAGGCTGGAGTAGGAAGGGCTCCTAGTCCAATATGATTAGGGGTTCTTATAAGAAGAGGAAGGAGAGAAGCTAGGAAAGAGGCATGGAACAGATTCTCTCTCAGATCCCTCAGGAGGAACCATCCTGCTGACATCTTGATCTCCAACTTCCAACTTCCAAAACTATGAGAATAAATTTCCTTGGTTTTAAGTCACCCAGTTTGTGGTACTTTGCTGTGGCAGCCCTAGAAAAAATGAGGACATGGCCTGAATTGGACAATTTGCTTATAGTTCTTATGAGTCAGGGGTCCAAGATATAAACCCTTCTATTATGCTGACTTCTCAAAGTAAGTCATGTAATAAATACATTCCACATGCACTGGTTATCCCATGGTGCCTTGCACTCTTTTCCATGGCTCTGTGAGCTTCCTTCACTCCCCTTTCCTCAATCACCTCCCCCTTGCACATGTCAATCCCAAGGTCCCCAGCCTTATTCTTAACCCAAGTGTGATTTCCAACACAGTAGGGGCTGGAAGTGGATGGGAGGTGGTTGGGAAGGACGGCTTCTTGGGATACATCTGTATCATTATGATTTATCCCCATCAAAGGAGCAGAAACAAACTCATGGAAAAAAGGCTCCCAATAAGTCTCAGAGCACCATGCAATTCCAGTGACTGACACTTTGTTCCCCCTTAGCAAGAAGCACCCGCCACATTACCATGGTGGAGTTTTGAGCAGGAACTCTCTTTTAGCTTTTGTTCCTCCTGGCACTATAACTCAAATGTTTTCTCTGTTTGTTTATCTTATTTTTTTCTGTAGGCCTTTCTGCTTATAATGTGTGCTTATATATTCAATTCTGCTGGAGAAGACAAGAAAAACACATAGAATAGATGAAAATCATAATCTGTGGTAAGTCGAGATAGCAAGCAAGTGGTTTGTGAGATGCAGGCAGAATTTATGAGCTGTGTTAAGTAAGTTAGCAACCTGTAAAAACATGTTAAAACTTAAAAGAACGATACAACACTCCCCCACACCACCCTCTCACATTTTTCTCAGTCATCCGCACAATGACAAGCCCAGATTTGGGAAACTGGGTTTGGAACTGGGCTTCTGATTCTTGGTGGGTCTGCTCTCTCTTTCAGAAGAAGTTGTTAGGCAAGAACTCTGCTGACATAGGGAGGTGTGTCTGATACCCTCTGCAGCCTGGAATAATAATGGCGGGGTTGGTAGTTCTGAAGTGTGCCAGCAAAGTGGGGAAAGGGCTCTGCTCTAGGAATTAGGAGATCTGACTTCTATGTCTGGCTCTACAAATACAGTAAAACTTCATGGTTTGGATATGACACTCTGGAAATAGGTTCCATACTTCACGCTGCCCCCATTCTCAATCAGGGGTGGGTGAACAAATTTATCTCCCTGGTTGGGGAAGAAAAGATGTTGAGAAAGGGGTAGGACCGGTGAGGAAATGGCCAGCCACCCTGTCTTGAGAAGTGGGGTCTCCATGTCCCCAGCATTCTCCCAGCTCAATCTCTCTGGATCAAGCTGAAGAAATGGTCTCAACTACCTTGGAGAATCCTGGACCCTTTGCTCTTCAAGAAGCCCCCACCATCTGTGGAAACATCCCTACCAGGTGCTGAATTAGAGCTGGGATCAGGGTGGGTTTGCATTCCATAGTTTGAGCCCTAGAAGGCCCAGGAAGGTAAACTGCATAGGTGTATCCTGGTTATTTGATTCACCTTGAAATAACACAAATTTGTGTTTTCCTGGTTAAATATTTTCGACTTCACTTACGGTGTTATGGCAAGGTTTTACTACTACTAACTGTGCAAAATCAAGGAAAATGTAGCTTTACCAGCGTTCCAGCTCTGACGCCTCTCATTATATCCTATCCACTTCAATAAGACTGTTGGGAGGATCAAAAGACAGTGAGAGAAGCAGGTTGACAAGAAGAAGGTCTACACTATGTAAAGCATCATGTTTAGGATGTGGATCACCTAGTCTCTCCCTTTCCAAGTGGATTGTCCCAGGTTTTAAGAAGAATAAAGTTTATTGCCAGATAATAGAAAAGATTTGAGCAGAGAAATGGAAGCCTCAACATATTTGTTCTTCCTTAGGAAATTTGGTAGCTAAAAATGAGAGGTAACAGCCAAAGGTTTTACAGACCTTAGCAAAAAGAGAATGTTTAAGTCCTATCACGTTAAACACTAAAAGCTGTATTTAAGCAACATTATACTCAAGATATTTCAGGCATTTAAGGCAGGAAATATGCAAATTAAGATCTCCCTCATGAACTCCTGCTTATTCCTCTTAAGCATTTATGTTCTCAGGAAACTCATCTTAAATGCACCTTAAATGTGCATATGTGGAAAGACTTTATATTTACCAAGAAAAATTTTCCAGACTTGTAAAGAGCATCAGAAACTCAATGAGTATTAAATCAACTGCTGCATTGCTTCAAGTTTTCTTCTGATCTTATCAATGACATAAAAATGTTTTATGTCATAATTAGCAAGTATATACCATTTTTTGTGTAATCACCTTTTGAGCAACCACTGTGTATCAGAAGCTGGATATTACCTCTTAAAAAAGAACAAGTACACAGGTCTATGGCTTTCCTGGTGGCACAGTGGTTAAGAATCCGCCTGTCAATGCAGGGGACACGGGTTTGAGCCCTGGTCTGGGAAGATCCCACATGCCACAGAGCAACTAAGCCCGTGTGCAGCAACTACTGAGCCTGTGCTCTAGAGCCCATGAGCCACAACTACTGAGCCCACGTGCCACAACTACTGAGCCCGCACGCCTAGAGCCAGTGCTCTGCAACACGAGAAACCACCACAATGAGAAGGC